CAAATATCATTTAATTAACTCAAATAATAAATATGAAATACAAATAAATATTTATTTGATAATAATCAAATTAACCGATTATTTGAAATATTTTTTCAGTGCGAGACATTAAAACAAAAATTTTATATTCTTTAAATCAAATGTATTGAGATGAACTGATTGGAATTGAGGATTAAAAAAAAAAAAAAAAAAATGAAGGACTATTTATATATTGGTATAGAAAAAAATCAATTTCAACGCGCTTTAATCCGCGTATCGCGTTTGGATGCACAATGCATCGTCCATTGAATCGGGGATCGTATTTATTGCATCTCAAAGCTATACGAAATGTTGCAATTGAGTGAGACAGCTGTAGATCGATGCCGGGGCAGTAAATTAGATCAGGTGAAGAGGATTGCTTAACAGCCGCGAATACACATCTTCACTCCCAGATGCAAGGAGAGCTGTGCTGAAGGGGTTTTCAACTCTCCTACTATACTACACGCTCTTAAAAGAATTTTAAAATCCAAGTGAAACTATCTTCTATTTTATAATATAAATATAGCCTCGAATCGTCTCTTATGGCAAATAATGTATTTGCAAAAACGATAATATAATTTTATTATTTTAATGCAATAACATTTTGTTAAATAATTTTACGACAAGATAAAATACATATCAAAACAATAGATTGAAAATTTGCGTGAGGATTTTTTTTTTTTCTATTTTCAAACTCAATACGATTTCTGAACGCGAGAGATGTAACGATTTCAGAATCACAACTACTTGAGCAACCTGCATATCAATAAAGATCCAAGTCGGTGTGACAGATCGTATTATGTACGCCGAAGCTAAAATCAGATTAGATGCGCCTTCTTGACTGGCAACGAAATCGATTCTTCGAATCGCCTCCATCAAACTAAATTATTTCTTGATAAAATCGCACCCTCGAAACGATTCCTTGATAAAATCTTCTCAATATTGAAATTTATTATATTCTAGAAAATCAATTTTTTCCTCCCTATACGAAATCTTACATAAAAAAATTTTTTTTATAACTTGCAAAAAAAAAAACATTGTTATTTACTCCTCTAAATTGGTATACAAAAAGCAATATTGGTATCAAATTAACTTTCAGTATTTGAAAGTTTGAAAAGTTTCTGCGCATAATAAAAATGCAAATTCCAAAGAGAGAGGGAGAGAGAGAGTCTGTTTTATAAAGCCTTTGTTAGTAATACATTTTGATTGACTGAAAAGTTTCAAAATGTTTACTTTTAATTATGTTCCTATATATCAAACTATAATCTCGCGCTTAAATTACACACGATAAAATAAATTTATATACCTATTATATAGGCAAATTTATTTTTCAAAAAAAAAATAAACCACATAAATAAATTCTAAGATTTATCCATTAATTCAATAATGAAATATATACATGAAATCAGTACAAGAAGAAGATTCAGATAAAAATAAATACAAATATATAAAAAAGTAAATATATATATATATATATACATATGAGAAAAATATATTCATCATTAATCTAAACACGTAATAACAATATTGATGATGTTCAATATATATTGAATGGTTGCAGGGGAAACTTGCGAGCAAATTAACAACAGGTGATTTTGATTTAAAACCCAAGCAACACCACATATAACATCAGTGTGGAAATAATTACAAAATTACAACTAGATGAATGTTCTGCACGATTCAACTTGAGAATTCGCAGGAGATCCATATTTCGTGCACTTGCATATGATCCTTTTTAACTGATCTTATATAGCTGACTTACACAACGCGCGTTTTACTCTTCATCGTCAAAACCACGTTGTATATTTTATATATATATATATACATAGTTTAAGAATAATGAAGCAAAAGCAAATCGTGAGATAAAACTGACGCTACTCAATACATTGTCCTCTAAACTACCTTCTTGTCAAGCTAAATATGCTAAATTCACAACTAATAATGATATATTATCTTTCAAAGTCTCAGCTTTATGATCTAAACAAAATGTTTATTTATCATCTCTAAGCATTCTAATAATAATAATAATAATAATAAAAATAATTTTTTTTTTTTAAATAAAAATAAAATAATTATTCGATTTTTTCTACTCTTTTCTATTTAAAATAATTTTTTTCTTTATTTCAAATAATAAATTCAATTTAGAATAAATCAAATTTTATTTACAACAAATAAATTTTTACTTGAAACAAATAAATATTTATTTAGTGCAAATAAAATATTTACTAAAATTTCAACTATTAATTTCTTATAATATATATTTTCTTTCAGTGCATTAAATAAAGATATGAGATGATTAACATTTCACATATATACAGCAAATAAATCTACTTTTTTTTTCTTCTCTAATATTATTAAAATCCTTATAAATAAGATAAATAATAATCCCCCTCATTGATCATCATCGTTGTTATCATCATCATAACAACTAGAAATAGCAAACAAGGAAAGGGTAAAGATACAGAATTATTTTCCTAGATATAAACCGCGCTTTAAGTGTTTACTATAAATTTTTAAACATTCATTATAAGAGCATTATTTTCGCATTAATATTACTCCATAAATTATATCCTCTAAATGAAAAGGTCAAAAAAATGAAAGTGAAAATGATTTCTCAAGATGTTAAAACAAAAAAAAAAAAAAACAAATGATATTTTAATATAAGAAAAACAATGTAAAAAACACTTTTCCAAAGTTCAAGTAAATTCTTGTTATATGAAAATTCAAGGATACGAGGGTTATTTTTACAATATGAAATAGTAATATAAAAATAAGATTGTTGGATATATAAAGGTACATTGTATTATAATGATAAAAAAAAAATGGATGCGGTGAAGGAGAGTGAGATTTGCGGTTCCGAATCTACTACAATAATGGAAATGAGGCAAATTAAAGTTGGATCGTGAATGAAAGCAAATAACTATAGATATATAGAAATTCTGCGAACCAAATTGAAACGAGGTTCGTAATTACAAAGTGGAGACATCCCTTTACCTATATATATATATATATATATATACCTTATGAAAGCAAACTTACAATAAAATTGTGATGCAAGCTGACTTAACTGAACCAACGTCCCACATTACCTCGAGCTATATCCTGCACGAGTTCACTGATTGCACAAATTCAACATATGGGAGAAAATATATATATATACCTAGACGCTTTCTTTTTGATTTTTCACAATTACATCGCTTGAGCAAATACGGGTATATATATATATATTTGCTAAAATTGTAATGGTATAATGCTGTTACGAACTGACATTGCTAAATTCAACTATTATTTCAGGATTCATCGAAAAGAAAGGTGAAAGGACGATTTTCGAAGAGATGCAGATTGCTTATACGCCTGTGTCATTCTATATATGAGTATATACAACTAGAAGAAGAACTTCTCTCTCTCTCTCTATCTCTTTTTACTTCTCACGACGACAGGCCACTCATTTATCATAATTACGTCTCGAGGCGATGTTACACATTTCGCTTTTTCACGCTCAAACTTTGCCATTTCCTCACTTGTAAATCACCCTTTTATGTAGTTTGTGTGATCTCTCAAAACTTCTTTGCATTAATGAGACGCCATACACAGTCAGGTACCACACAAGTTAGTTCTTGATGAGATTTAATTAGGTGAGATAATAATAATGCATTTCGAACAAGGAACATTGCGAATATTTCGCTATATATATATATTCTATATGAGAGAGAGAGAAATTTGTAACATAACTTAATTGAAATATTACTTCAAATGAATTATTTCAATTTCAAATTATTCAAAAACCGAATACAAAAATAGTGTTTAAAAAAAAAACTGTAAAATAATTATTTCTCTGTACCAAATAATTTTTTATTGATTCAATTAAATTTTATTTGCTTCAAATAAAGAACTTATTGGTTTAAATACAGTTTATTTGATTCAAATAAAAATTATTTGATTCAAATTAAAATTATTTGGTTTAAATACAATTTATTTGTTGCAAATAAAAATTATTTGTTTCAAATATAATTTACTTAAATCAAATAAAAATTATTTGTTTCCAACAGAATTTATTTAATTCATATAAAAATTATTTGATTCAAGTATAAATATTTATTTGATAATAGTCAGGTAATCGATTATTTGAATCAAATAAATTTTTTTATTGTAGTAGTTTTCACTGACAATTAGTGAAATTTTACTGAGAATTAGTGATTTTTTAAAAAATTCTAAATAGAAAATTACTTTAAAAAAAAAAAAAAAAAATTTTTAAATTTATTTAATTAAAAAAACATTTTTAATGAAAAATAATTTAAAAAATTTTTTTTTTTACTTCTATATAATTATGTAATAAGAGAAAAAAAAACTGATTTTACAAAATACGGCTTTCATCTTCTTTTCCAATTAAAAGAATATCCCCATCATCGTTTGCCTTAAAAAACAGTTTACTTTTTCATTTTCTCTCGCACATTATATTTTTTGTAAAAGCAGAAAATTCTTTTCAACGAAAACTTCTTTGAATTACATAAGGAACTTGTATATACACACGTATTTATGTTAAATTAGAGAAATTTTCTATGCTTCAAAGAAGCTTTTCCTTTTTTTTTTCTTTTAATTCAAGGTGTATATGTTCACGTATAGAAAAAGTTTAAAGAAAAGTAAAATTCACAAAAAGAGATCAAATATTTATGGAAAATTTTTTTTTTTTTTTTGCTTGTGAAAAGCTTTTTGCATCTCTCTCTCTCACACACAAAAATATATATATATATATATATTGAGTGGATGAGAATCGTTATCTGTACCACAAAACTTCTGGTTGGAGAGTTCGTTTACTTGAAAACCCCACTCTATATGTATAAACGCCATCTTGGCACCGTCACCAATAGATGCACTGCCGTGACACAGTTATAGCGATCTTCGTAGTAAATCTTTCCGAGTTGCACTAAATCCATGATCTCGAATCACGGATGGACTTAAGGATATATAAAGCGGATTAGAGCTCCGCAGCTTTGTCATTCCCTCAATACCACTCAGTGGTGAGGAGCTATTTTTTTTTTTTTTTTAATAATCGCGATATTAACGAGAATCCTTTGTCTTCTATTTAGTTTTTCCCGTTTTCCCTGGACCAATCAGGCGAAAACAAAAAATATTATATTATTTTTTTTTTAATAACATCTTTATCACGGGCACCGTAGCATCATGTTTAAGGTAAGATTTTACGAAAAGAAAAAAAGAAAGATGCTGAGTTGACGGACTCAACCTCCCGAGGGATTCTGTATACATATATATGTATATATGTGTCGAGGATATTATTATGCGAAGCAAGTGCGAATTATTGACGGGACGAGTTAAGGGTTGTGCGTGCCCTCTTAAACTACTACAACTTGGTTAAACTTGACCACTTCTAAAGAGAGAAATAGAGAGAAAGAAAGATAGAAGGTGAAAATTCGTTTTTGAACGAACGGTCAAGTGACACAGTTTAAGAATTCTTTTTTCTCCCTTTTTTTGTTGAGTGACTATATTTGTGAAAAAATACTTCTCTTCAAGGACTCTTTTTTTCAACTTAAAAATATAAAAGTGTATGGAACACTTTTTTTTTTGTAAACTGAAGTCATTTTTTTACTAAAAATTAGTGGAACTTTTTTTTGGTTAGCTAAACTGAAATTTGAAAAAAGTTTAAACATTTTTAAATTTTAATTGAAGGAATAAAACATTGGTTTTTTAATGCATTTTTTTATTTTTATAATTTATTAATAGTTTTTATATCTAATTTATTAGCATCCTCTTTACAGAATGACATAAATATTAAAATAGAAGATTTAATAAAAATAATAGACAGGAAGTTTCAATTTCTAGAATTAAGACAAGAAGCAACGTGATAAATTTTAAATGAAATTTAATTTTTTAATTACCCTTCTTATTTTATAACACAAGTTAATAAGCTTCGTGTGTTTTGTTAAAAAATTTATTCATTATCAAGAAATTATGACGTTAAGTAATTTTTGTATTCAATTATCAACATCCGCTATTAATATATTATATTGCATTAAAATGTAATTTAAAAAAATGTTAATTATAAATTAGAGCAAAGGAAGTTTCAATTTTTAAAATTAAACAGATACTTTACAAAAAAAAACAGAACAAATTTTATATATATCATATTATACATTATTAATTATATTATATTGCAGTATAAAGATATAATATTTTTAATAATAAATAAATATAACATATTGATATTACTTTCTCGTAATTTAAAATAATTAGTTCCTTTTTTCATAATAAAATAGTATGTCAATAACTCAATAGTAAAACGCCAATCATCTATTTTAAGTAATTAAATTTTTTTTTTAATAATTCAGATATAAAAGAATATACAAATAATATTCACATTTACATTTTCGTTTCTACAGAATATACGTTATCGTTAGTCTAGTTATTGTCAGTAAAACGAATATAATCAATAATCATGTGTCAATCAATTAGATCCCTCGAATATTGCTTTTAACTTAAATTGCATAACGAATGATTAATGAACATCCCACATTAATTTTACCATCCATAACAGTTGCATAATGTAAAGAGAGAACTTTTTTTCTATTCTATATAAATATATGATTATGAAAGCAAATTGAAGTGAATTATTATATTATTAAATATTCAAAAAGAAAAAAAATTAACATTCGAATAATTTCTCAAAATAAAATAAAATAAACCACATTATTAATTATTTTAGTTATTAATTATTAATTTCAGAATTTTATAATCAAACTTTAATTTTAATAGAAAGTAATTTTACTAATCAATGCAGTACACCCAGAGAATTCTTTTATTTGTTTTAAATAAGGTAAGGTAAAAAATTTTATTTAGTAAAAATAAGATTACTTTTCTTTTAGAGCAAATAACATTTTTATTTAAATCAAATAAAAATTAATTTTAATTATTTATTATTAATTTTATTGTTTTAAATAAAAAATTTAATTTAGTATTAATATGATTTTATTTAGCGCAGATATAATTTTCATTTAAACTAAATAAAATTTAAATTTATTGAATTTATTTATTTATTTATTTAATTTATTGAAAACGGAGTAAAATAATAATCATCAATAAATAAAATTTATTTGAAACAAATAGTTATTTGGCTCTTAGGCAAATATGTCTTTTCTCTGGATGTATTCTTTGATTTTTAGAATAAAATTCAATAATAAAATTCAAATTGTAAAAAGATTTTTTAAGATTGAAAAAAATGAATATTTTTTTATAGCTGACGGTAGCTCTGACGGTTGTGGCTCTGGCCATAGCAAAACCAGAACCCCCCGTGAATTCGTATTTACCACCCGGAAGAGGCGGTGGTTCAGCAGGAGGAAATTTTGGAGGTGGTAGTTCCGGAGGAAGACCTTCGGATACATACGGACCACCTGGTTTCGGAGGGGGCGGTGGAGGTGGTGGAGGAAACGGTGGGAATTTTATTATGAATTAAAAAAAAAAAAACAAAGAATCAAAATTAAATTACATTAAAAAATTCAAAATACAACAGGTGGTCCACCTTCCACATCTTACGGCACACCAAATGGTGGCGGTGGATTTGGATCCGGAGGTTCCAGTGGGGGCTTTGGGGGTGGAAGTGGTGGATTCGGATCAGGAGGTTCCAGTGGGGGCTTCGGGGGAGGCAGTGGCGGATTTGGGTCAGGTGGTTCAAGACCATCCGACAGTTATGGTCCACCAGCATCCGGCAATGGAGGATCTGGTGGTAGTGGAGGAAGAGGAGGATCCGGTTCCGGTGGATTTGGAGGTGTGTTAATTTTTGTCAATTTTTTGTTACACAAACACTTTAAATTATTCATTCAATTAAAAATGTAATCGTTTACATTTTATCAAATTAATGATTAATTAATTAATTAATGATTAATTATAAACAGAAAAATAATACGCCAAAATATTATTATTATTATTCTTATATTAATAATTATAAATATAAAAATTCTAACCTTAAAATTGCTGCTGTTGCCGATTTCCGTTCCAGAACGAATTTCCATTCTTTAACTTTGCTGTTGTCGATTTCCTTTCCTGAAGAGTTTCCATTCAATAAATTGACACAAACACTCGCTATTTTAATAATTTCGAACACTCCCGAAATTGCGATTAAATGAAAACAAATTTTTTTTCTAAATTATTAAGCGATCGCGGTTTTAAGATATTCGAACACTCCCGGAAAAAAAATTGATATTAGACTTAGAAAAAAATTGTGATTAAATGAAACTTTTTTTTTTACGAAACGATCGCGGTTTTAAGTAATTCGAACACTCCCGAATGAAGCTGAAACTGGCACTTAGTTAACAGCACCCACTTAATTTTTTAAAATTACATTTAAAAAAAAAAATAAAATTTTATAAACTTTTTTTTTAAACTAAAAAGAAAAACATTTAACTTCAATATTTAATTAGGAAACATTAAGTGGGTCTTGATAACTGAGTGCCAGTTTCAGCTTCATCACTCCCGAAAAAAATTAGGCTATTAAAAAAAATAAAAAATTAAAGAATCGCAATTTTAGAAAAAAACGAACACTCCCGAAACTGCACGTACACTGAAAATAAATAATATTATATTAATTATTATAATTTTGTAAAAGTATAATATAAATAAAATATTATAAATTAATGAATTAATAAACGGATGGCGATAAACGTTAGACAGGTATAAACTTGTCGGTTCTCGAATTAAGACTGATCAGTTTAATATACCCAGGGGTGCGAGTTTCAAATCTGTTCTAATAAAAGTGACCGCCCTTTGTTTGCATTGAATATAAACATAATTCTCAGAATACTGCAGACTATTTCAATGTCTTACAATTAGCTTCGTGCTGATGTATTTAAAATTCTTCACGTTTTAATATTTAAATTTTCTCTAAATTACATGCATTATAATTATTCTGAAAGTAATATAATTTTTTTAAAATATGAAAAACTTCTTTTAAGATTTTATTCTTCGATATAAGAAAATATTCTTTTTTATTATTTATTTTTACTATTAAAAATATTAAATTAATTGTGAATTTTCAGTTCTATCTGCAATATTATTCAAGGTTGTTACCTTTTGTTTATGTAGGTATATCTGAGTGTAAACAGATTGCTCGGAACTTAGAGACAATTATAAAACCTCAAATATATTACTCCCTTGTTTTCATGTATTTAAATTACTTTAGAAATATAATTTTCAAAATTTAATTTAATTCATTGACCTCTGCACTATACGTTCAATGATTTAAAAAAATTTAATTTTAAAGAATCAAATTTTTTTTAGAGTGTATTTATACCGTGTCTCTTTTATGTGAAAAACGAAAGGAGGGGGGGGGGGGGGTTGTGTTCTCTATTGTAAAGAAACATTTTTTTTACAGGTGGCAGACCTTCGGACAGTTATGGTCAACCACCACCTCCACCACCTGGAGGCGGTGGTGGTTCTGGATTTAATGGCGGTACACCATCAGATAGTTATGGTACACCTCTTACGGGAGGAGGTGGTGGTGGTGGTGGACGAGGAGGTTCTGGAAGTGGAGGCAATGGATTTGGTGGACGACCTTCAGATTCTTATGGACCACCGTCGTCAGGTGGTAATAGTGGTAGAGGAAATTCAGGAGGCGGAAGACCATCAGACACATATGGAACACCTTCAGGGGGCGGTAATGGAAGAGGAGGCAGTGGAGGAGGTGGTAATAACGGATTCGGTAGCGGCGGTTCAGGAGGTGGTAGACCATCTGACAGTTATCTTCCACCTGGAAATGGGAATGGAAATGGAAATGGAAGGGGAGGTTCCGGAGGTGGTAGACCATCAGACTCTTATGGACCACCTTCTGGGGGTGGAAATAGTAGAGGCGGAAATGGTGGTGGTGGTAATGGTAATTTCGGAGGTTCCGGAGGTGGAAGACCATCTGACTCTTATGGACCACCCTCAGGCGGTAATGGAGGCGGTTTCGGAGGTGGTAAGTTAATTATTTAAAAATAGTTCAATATATTCATAAAGGGAAATATAGATTTTTTTCTAATTAAACATTATTTGCAGGTAGAGGAGGTGGGGGTAATGGAGGAGGTGGAGGTAATAGTGGATTTGGAGGAGGTGGGGGTAATGGTGGGTTTGGAGGTGGGAGGCCATCAGATTCTTATGGACCACCTAATGCTGGGGGCGGTGGTGGAGGAGGCCAAGGAGGTCGTGGGGGCAATGGTGGGTTTGGAGGAGGGAGGCCATCAGATTCTTATGGACCACCTAATGCCGGAGGCGGCGGTGGTGGTAGTGGCGGAAGAGGAGGTGGTGGAAACGATGGTTATTCTTCTGGCGGCCCTGGAGATTTCGGAGGAGGTGGATCTGGATCTGGTGGTTACGGTGGAAATGCCGAAGAAGAGAGCAATGTAAGAATTCCCAACTCGAAAATATCCAAATGTACTTAAATTTAAAGTTAACAATAATCAGTTTGAAAATTTAATTAAATCGTATGATTTGAATAGGAATTTATTTAAATAGTTCGTATAATTTTAGGAACCAGCGAAATACGAATTTTCTTACGAAGTGAAGGATGACCAATCAGGAAGCACTTTTGGACATACAGAAACTCGAGATGGAGATAGGGCCCAAGGAGAGTTCAATGTTTTACTTCCAGATGGTAGAAAACAAATAATTGAATACGAGGCCGATGCAGATGGATTTAAACCTCAGATTAGATATGAAGGAGAAGCTAACACAGGAGGCGGTGGAGGTGGTGGAAATAATGGAGGCTATCCGTCTGGAGGACCATCTGGAGGTGGCGGAAATGGTTATCCCTCAGGACGCCCCTCAGGTGGGGGTGGATTTGGAGGAAGCGGAGGCAGTGGAGGAAATGGTGGGTTTGGAGGTGGCGGAGGTGGAAATGGCGGTTATCCTTCCGGTGGTCCAGGAGGAAATTCTGGAGGTGGATCCGGAGGATTTGGAGGTAGCGGAGGCGGCAATGGTGGTTATCCCTCCGGAGGTCCAGGAGGTAATTCTGGAGGTGGATCCGGAGGATTTGGAGGAAGCGGAGGTGGCAATGGTGGTTATCCTTCCGGAGGTCCAGGAGGGAATTCCGGGGGCGGTTTTGGAGGTAATGGGGGCGGCAGCGGTGGTTATCCCTCCGGAGGTCCAGGAGGCAACTCCGGAGGTGGATCCGGAGGATTTGGAGGTAGCGGAGGTGGTTCATCAGGTGGAAACTTTGGAGGAGGTGGTGGAGGAGGATATCCACGAGGTGGTCCTGGCGGTAATGGAGGAAATGGAGGTTTCGGTGGTGGAAACGGTAAAAATTGAAAACTTTTACTTTATAATAAATAATTAATGTGCTAACTAAATTAATTTTTTCTAGGTCAACAAGGTGGAGGTGGAAATCAAGGATATCCTTCGGGAAGACCTGGTGGTGGAAATGATTTCGGAGGAGGTGGCCAAAGGGGTGGTGGTCAGGGAGGCGGTGGTGGTTATCCTTCTGGTAGTGGAGGTGACGCTGCAGCCAATGGAGGATACCAATACTAAATGAGTTAATTCTAATTAAACGAATGTTTCGGATGTATTATAGAACGACAAAGGTTGTTCATAACATAGTCTCACGACACCGCAGCCCTGTGATTATTTGGGATACGGTTGTTTGAATCTGACGAGTAATGTTTGAACTGAAGTGAAAGGCATTAATTACTTAGCACTATTCAAAGATCTAATTAAGTATTAAATTGAGAGACGTCCACTTATAGACCGACTCAGTAATTTAGGGCAATTTGTTCAGTTATATTAATTAACAATGATGAATGGTACAAGTAATATTAAAATACAATTTTTTTCCCTCAGAAATTTTTCTTAAAAAGAAGAAGAATATTTTGGAAAAAAATATTATTTCCAATGTGTATAAGAGATATTCTCGTCAAATTCAACGAATCTGAAGATCCCATAAAATGGGCTACTGTGATAGTGAACGTAATAGCTGCATTTATATAAGAATACTTCGCGACAATAATCTGCGAAATTTTGTTCAATCGAGTGTTGACGATAAAAAAAAAAACTAGCTGAACTATTTAGTCTAAATAATATATATGTATAATCCTTCCTCAATATTTCGTCACACGATATGATAGAACTCAGGTAGCAGATTATTAATGTTTCAAGTAGACAACCTCGTATTTTATTTATTTATAAAAAAAATATACCAATTTTGTTTATAGAATCTCAATGTATATGTAGTTTATAGCGCAAAACAAGCCGCATAAATAAAAAATGCGGTCAGCCATAACTGTGTTCATTTCTTTCATTGATCACCTGTCAAAACGCTTGTTAACAAACTGATGAGTGTGCTCACCCACAGTTTAATTACAAATTCAATACGCTCTTTGTACGTGAATAAATTGGCAATCTGTTTAAGGATCTCGTGTATTATTCAATGTATAAACGTATTGAAATTATTCCAAAATAATATTCGTGAAGAGTAGTGACAATTTTCCTTTCATTAAATTCTGTTTTATCACACATGATTGAAAGATATCAAATTTTTCAATTACAATAAATTTCTCTTCCATTGTTTTTACTTTCTATGTAAATTGTCATACAAAGGATTATTATTATTATTGAATTAATTTCAATACTTTACATGAATTATTTAAATTCGATAATTACTCTTTAACGTAAATTTATTTTTAAATTGACTTGTTTGTATTAGAATAAAATTTCAAACGATACGTTTTAAATCCAGGACATTGAAAGGGAGAAAGACTGCTGAGGATTTGTATCACTATACGAAGATGAGTCGTGACATGATGCAATTGATTGCATGTAGAGTAAACCACTATTGGCATCCCACTTGTAACTTGCATAATAAACTCTATTATGCCAAAGAAACATAGAAAGGATGTTTTCATCACTCGCCATGACCAATCGTAAAATTATAACGATTTATAACGATCTACAAAACACAAAACGAGCTCATCTTTCCCGATTTTACGATTGACTGTATCTATATATATAATAATAATACTCATACCTATACGAGTTATGCTCGCGTGCCTATTTTTAATGAAAAATTAGCAAAGTTGCATTTACGACCTTGGAATAGTTTCCCTATGAATGCAATGAACGTCATTAATTTATTGCTTCTTTCTTTTGTCCGATTGCTGCAATATATGTCATACTTTTACTCTCATCATCTTTCGATCAATCTAATTTTTGCAATTCAAATTTTTTTCCTCTATCATTCTTTCCTTTGTACTTTATATCTGAGAAACATTGATTCATGCTAGTTTCAGAAATACAAAAGAGACATCTCTTTTGATGAACGCATATAGTATTATTCAACAAAATCACATTTTAATTAAATCACGTTCTTCATTAAGCGAACTTATCAATTACATAAACACTCGTTAATTAATTGAATTTGCTTATTATGAAAAAGAAGGGGGTGGGGTTTTTGTTAATTAAATGAAACTTGTTAATTAACATTTTTCAAATATTAAAGTAATGTATAATTAAATAATTCTAAATATGAAATTTAAAAGCAAGTTATATTTTAAAACCCTACGAAATCGAGTAATTATTGTTACGTCTCAAATATAAGAAATAACTTCAGAAATTATATTTTATTTTTATTTATTTCCGCTTCGGTGATTCAGGGTAATCCTGTTTCATTTACAGAGCAGAAGGCTCTGAACTAAGGGTACAGGTAAGAAAGAGAATAGAAATTTTTATAATTAAGTTACAATTTTATTTAGACAAATTTTTAGGGTTAAAATAGTTCGTTCTTATGCGAGAGAGAGGGAATCTCAAACCAACCAATCCAGGAAATGAGTTCAGCATTCAACTGAAATAAGGAATGTAAGGGTTACCACAAATATACGACAAGTTTAGAAAGTTAGGAGTAAAAATATAAGACACTTACCTTAAAATTCAGTAGTAGATAAGTTTCAATAAAGAAAAGGACCACTGCTGTGTCCTTTGTTGACACAGGAAAAAGAGCTGGTATCAGCGTGAGTTATGACGTCCGGAAGGTTGACGGGCCCAGGTATAACCGCAGGTCCGGAGTTCTATTAGGCGTGACGAATGTCCGAATAATGAGTCTCTTCCAAATAAATAGATAATTGCCCAATGCAATAAGTAGTGATGATCCTCGTTTTATGTAGAGGGTATTGATGCTTGATTTTCACTTTGATATAAGAGAATTATGCACTTGTACTATAAGACGTCGACTGGCACCAAGAATGAGATTGATACGTATGAAGATAATTTGAGAACTAGTTGATGTTATACGTATGAAGAGGATCCCAGAACTAGTTGATGTTATACGTATGAAGAGGATCCCAGAACTGATCTCTCCATGAAAATGTAGCCCTTTTATACTGAGTTTTCGTAAGAGAATAGATAAAATTTTATTGTCCTACTATATATTTTCACCCTAATTTTGGAAGTCAAAGTTCAGTCCTTCTCTCTCAGTTGAACGTAAAAAGGGGGGTGTGAACCAGCTTCTTCAAGATACAAAAAGTATGACTATGATTATTCGCAGCTGTACTCTTCTAATGTGGTGATACCACAGGGGTTCGTCACATAGGATAATTGGAAAGAGCGCATTTATTACATCGTTTGATTTTAGCACATAGGGGAAATTAGAAAGGGATCATTTTGTTTTGTGGGGGTGTGAGCTCTTCTGGTATCATAAAAGATTTCTCGCTTCTATTTGTATGTATACAGAAATAGAAATACAGTAGATTGTCGTAGAAGGATACAAAACGCAGGGGTCTTTTATATATAAAAGAATGATGTTTAGTTGCACGAAAAAAGGGGCGGAAATTGAACATTTAAGAGAAAAGTATTTAGAGGCGTAACAAAAACACGTGTGTTTGTCGCAGAGACATATAACTCGGTATTGATTAAAAGGATTCTTATAATTATGAATGTAAAAGTTACGGTGACGTGACACCTCCCCCCTTTAAAATTCGGAAATTAGAAATGAAATTGAATAATTTACGAATTCAGTTTTTGAGAAGAGTTAAGTTATTTGAGGGAAATGTCACTTACAATTTTGATTATATTATGTAAAGTTTTTAGACATCAATGTTTAAAAGACCTAAGAGAAAATACGTCATACACATAATATAGTTTCACACCTTATTCACACCAAGTTAAGATACAAGTTTATATATATTGAAAAATACATACGAATATTATTGTTAATGATTTCAAAGATTTTCACACATATCCCGTACTATCATTTTTGAGTTAATAGTCATACATGATTTAAAAATTATTTAATCATAGAGATTGGGATCTTATGTATAGAAGCATATACAAATTTGAAATACTTTCGTAAAAGCTCACAGAATTAGTAGAAGTAGTATATAAAAAGGAATTTTAATTATATTTATAAAGACACTCATACCATGTATTATACAAGATTTTAAGGATGCATTATTATTATTTGCTCTTTACACATTGGTTAATTTAGAATAAGATATAAGTTTTCAATAAATAGTGCATACAGATAGATTACATTCTGATGATGACAGAGTTCAACTATTTTTTTTTTCATACATAATTTATACTTTTGAAATGTTATATTATTCTGTTAAAGATTTTCATCCACATATATTTACGAAAAGGAGGAAGGCAGAAAAAAAAAAATTTCTAACATTTTCCTTTCTGAACGCAGGTATAATTTTTGAAACAGATTTATATAAGCTTATACATCCCTCCCTCCTTTAAGAGAAAAACGAGAAGCATTCGAAGTTTTGACATGAATAGAATTTACAACATTGATTTAAAGAATTTTTGCTTTAATATTAATTAATTAGATAATTTTCGTTCTTTTTTTTTTTATTGTAACAATTTCTTGCTATATGATATTTTTCGAAACATTGCTCACAAGATAAGCTGCATTTGCTTAATTAAAATTTTCTTTTTTTTACTCTAAGTGTCGATATATTATAATCATATTGTTTACACACTCATTGTGACATTAGTTGCAATCCTTCCTTTTATCTTTATCAATAGAATTTTTTTTCAATTTTTGATTTCAATATAATCATTCCATGTTCTAAATGACATATTGATATTTTTTAATTCCTCGACTCCGGTAATTAATATATTGGTTTAGCAAACTAAATTCGATTGATAAATTCTTCATAACACGAATTGGAAAATTTATTTATTTTTACCATGCCCGTTCATATTACCTAAAGGAATATAAGATTCTATCAGGTAACATTGTTCTCATTTTCAAGACTACAAGTTTCTCTTCTTTTACTTTTTTAAAATAAATAATTTTTGAAATCGATGACATTTTTCAATTAGGCTTTTAGTTTACGAGATATTGACGATTTTATCTGGCATTTTTTTATATAAATTTTCGAATATTTTGAATTTGGAAAAAAAAAATTTCAATCTCGATTTACATGTTTTAGATCTCAAAATTTCGTGTCACATTGTGGTAATCAAATTTCGGTATTGATACGAACTACAAGAAAATGAAGTTTAAGAATTTAAAAAAATTGATTTTTTTTTTTTTTTTTTTTTTTTTTTTTTTTAATTTTTGAATATTTGAATTTAGGAAAAAAAAAACAAAATATTAATATGAAACTTTCTTATACGAAATATTTAAAAGAAAAAAAAAGTAAATTTTATAATGTAAAAATAGATCCTGGAAGAAAAATAGCAAATATTAATATAATGAATGTCCATAATATATTTTAATCACCTGAAACAGAAATATCTCTATATTATTATCAATTATTTAATGTCTCTTTTTTATTATATCTCAAAATTAAAATGTATGCTTAAGAAAATACTCCAGTTGTTTAATATAAAATTCGAGTAATCTGTATTTATTACAGATAATTATATATTTTTTATAATATTTATTTATTTTGTTACTGACAATGCCTTTTTTTATTTGTATTTTAATGCTTAAGAATATGCAAAACTGGATTATTTACTTTAATAAAAAAGTTAATTGTATAAATGGAGAATTATAATTATAAGAGCAAACAATAATGTTGCAAAAGCAAATTGTTTTGTTTATGTGTATTTAGTGAATATATTGAAGGATGTGTATTAAGATTTGAATTAATTCACTATTCTTGCTATATTTTATAGAAATGTTTAAATTAATTTTGGTTAGCATGATGAATATGAGACAAGCGAAGTCTGTTAATGTGTACAATTTTTGGTGATTTATTTATTTTAATTTTTATGTTTCCTTTACTCAATATTTCTAACACTTCATGTGGTCCTGTATATTGATTACCTAATTTTTTCGGTTTAGGACCTTGTAATAAAAATACACTATCTCCGATTTTAAAATTTTGAGGGTTAGCTTTACGATCATAGTAAGTTTTTGATTTTTCTTTAGA